CCTCAAAGGAAAATCAAACAGACCTAAGCAGAGAGAAGGACAGTCAACATCTCAACCTGGCTGTAACGTACTTGAGCTGAAATATGATTTAATGCATCAACACACACACACACACATCAACAGAACAGTGAGGTGGTCGTGCCAGGTACAACCACCTACCTCACTAGCTAAGACAATGTCTGCAGGAGGTGAGGACGGCGACCACACGATGATTGTACACCTCACCCCGACCATTAACATTATTACCTTCATTGTTATGTGGGAGGCAGGTGAGTAAGTACATCACCTATGAGACTTTGAGAATGCTAGAGAAGAAACGTCACACACGTCCGCCACTATGAGTTGTTAGTAAGATTTTATGGTTGGTTACTTCAATATATTTCTTATTCCTTTCTTCCTTAATCTTTTTTTCCTCCCTCCTTCCTTCATTCATTTCCTTCCTCTATCTCTCTTTCCCTTCCTCCCTCCTTCCTTCATTCATTTCCTTCCTCTATCTCTCTTTCCCTTCCTCCCTCCTTCCTTCATTCATTTCCTTCCTCTATCTCTCTTTCCCTTCCTCCCTCCTTCCTTCATTCATTTCCTTCCTCTATCTCTCTTTCCCTTCCTCCCTCCTTCCTTCATTCATTTCCTTCCTCTATCTCTCTTTCCCTTCCTCCCTCCTTCCTTCATTCATTTCTCTTCCTCTCATCTCTCTCTCTCCCTTCCTCCCTCCTTCCTTCATCTCTATTTCCTTTCCTTCCTTATTCTCCTTCCTCTTCTCCTTCCTCCCTCCTTCCTTCATTCCTTCCTTCCTTCTCCTCTCTCTTTCCCTTCCTCACTCCCTCCTTCCTTCATTCTTTTTCACTTCCTCCCTCCATTCCTTCCATCTCCTCTTTCTCCCTTATTATTATCCACCACATCTCTTTCTTCCTTTCTTCTTCCCTCACTTTGGAGGGAGGCCCAGGAGGCCTTTCAGGGGAGGGAAGAGGTGGAGGGGGTGGAGGGGAGGTGGGCAGGAGGTGGAGGGAGGCAGGAGGGGTGGAGGGAGGTGGAGGGAGTGGAGGGGAGGCAGGAGGAGTGGAGGGAGAGGAGTGGAGGAGGCAGGGAGGAGGTGGAGGGAGGCAGGAGGAGTGAGGGAGGCAGGAGGTGGAGGGAGGAGGAGGGGAGGGAGGCAGGAGGGGTGGAGAGGCAGGAGGGAGGCAGGGGGAGGGAGGAGGAGGGGTGGGGAGGGAGGAGGGAGGTGGGGGAGGCGGGAGGGGGGAGGGAGGAGGAGGGTGGAGGAGTGGAGAGGGAGGGAGGGGAGGGAGGTGGAGAGGTGGGGAGGGAGGGGGAGGCAGGAGGGGAGGGGAGGTAGGGAGGGGTGGGGAGGGAGGAGGGGGGGGGGGAGGCAGGGAGGGGGTGGAGGGAGGCAGGAGGGGTGGTAGGGGTGGGGAGGAGGCAGGAGGGGGTGGAGGGAGGCAGGAGGGGGAGGGGAGGGAGGGAGGCAGGAGGGGGTGGGGGGGAGGCAGGAGGGGTGCAGGAGGGGGGGGGGGAGGCAGGGAGGAGGGGGTGGAGGGAGGCAGGAGGGGTGGGGAGGAGGGGGGGGGGAGGAGGAGGGGTGGGGGGAGGCAGGGAGGGAGGCAGGAGGGGTGGGGGGAGGCAGGAGGGGTGGAGGGAGGCAGGGGAGGGGTGGGGGAGGCAGGAGGGGGGGGGGAGGCAGGAGGGGGGGGGGGGGCAGGGGAGGGGTGGAGGGGGAGGCAGGAGGGGTGGAGAGGCAGGAGGGGTGGAGGGAGGCAGGAGGAGGGGGGGAGGTGGGGAGGCAGGAGGGGAGAGGGAGGCAGGAGGGGTCGGGGGAGGCAGGAGGGGTGGGGGGAGGCAGGAGGGGTGGATGTGAATGATAGCTTTTTATATATATATTTTTTATTTCCCCTGAGGGGCTAGTTTAATGGGCACCCCCTTACATCCTGTGCACGTTGAAGCGCAGAAGCATTTACAGTGACCATCTGAGAAGCATGCATAGTTCATGCTTGTCTTTATTACTCATGCTTTAAGGACGTATAAGCCTGAAGGGTCATGGGTTTTGTCAGCAAGTTACATAAAGTGACAGAATGATGAGTATGTGGCGGAAGTTCCCTGTACAATTTTCTGTTTATGGCAAAGCGTGGCAGGTCCCTAGTGCCAGGCCTGTCTCTAGGAGGAGGTATATCTGGTCAGGGAGGGACGAGGTGCTGGTAACGGCTGGGGACCTATAGGAGGAGGTCATAGGGCAAGTGAGGATGTAGTGAGAAAGAGTGTGAGAGTCGGGTTGGCCACAAAGTTTACAAGCAGTGCAGCCAGGCTCAGGGTTGCCAATATACTAGGCGTGGCGAAGTACAGTGGGGATGGAGGTGATATGGTGTGGTGGGACAGGTACAGTAGGGGTGGAGGGAGGCATATAGGCATTGACAATATTGAGGGACATACCTTTTAGTGTGATTGTGATGGCGTGTGCGTCGACATGACGATAGGGTACGGGTAGCCGGGGGTGGTGTCTTCAGGTCCAATAGGTAGCCCTGGTGGAGACAGCACAGACACAGTAGTGGGCGCGGCTTGCGGTGGGTATACAGGTTGAGACACCACGTGTCGTGAAGATGAGGCAGGACTTCGCTAAGGGCCAGCAGGACACACCAGGGCAGGCCCAGTAGGCACTACACCAGTAGTGAAGGCTGCCGGCAGTGGAGTAGGCCGTGAATAGGGGGGGCTCACAGGAGGACTACCAGCTTGTGTCAAACCAGAAGAAGGGAGTGACTGGGTGGCAACAGAGAGAGAGGGGAGTAGGTCGGAGATGGCGGTACAGAGTATAGCGAAGAGTTTTTCAATACCGTTGGTAAATTCCTGGAAGAGGGATGATCTGTGTCATGTCATTGGAGAGGGGTTGTGGGGGCACCGGTGGGAGCCAAGGCCTGACAGTGTCAGAGTAGAGACGGGGAGGAGGCACAGTAGTAGTTGAGTTAGGAGACGGCCGGGACTGCTGTGTTGCAGCCAGTTGAGGCCAGGCAGGGGCAGCTGTTGTTGAAGAAGGAGGCGTTGCTGGAGACAGAGGAGGGGATGCAGAGGGAGGCGGCCCGGTACGCTGGGGGAGGGGGGACGTTGTGGAAGGCGCAGCCTTTGGGGAGGCTTTTCCCCTGGGACAGACGGGCGATTGGTGCATTGCCGTGAGTCAGCAATGTGTTGGCCGCCACAGTTACAACACCTGGGATCAACTTCATAACCCACACCACCCCCATTAAGGTGGTCTTTGATTTTCTGGGCACAGGCGGCTGAGTTATGGTTATGTGAACAGAAGCGACATCTGGGACGATTACGTCGGCAGCAGGCAGTGAAGGTGTGACCCCAGTGAGAACAGATAACATAAAACGCAGACCCAGGATGATAGGATTCTGCATAAAGTGGAGGGAGGATTGGGTGGGCCTCCACAGTGGTTGGGCATTCCCTTCCCTTCCATTTGACAATGACAGCAGCTTGTGGGGGTGTTCCCCCAGCAATGTCGACGTATACTGAGTATACTAGAATTAAAGTCCCGCGCATCTTCGATGTCAGCGTATAGGGGGACTTGTTTTACTGGAATGTGGCAACATTCATCAGTGTCTACTGGGAGGCACCAGGACAACCCCGTCAAAGCCAACAGTACTAAGTGTTTCATAGACCTCAGGAGTCTGACATTTGATAAAGTTCCATTCCTACCTTGTCGGAATTTAATGTTGAGACCGTGTTGTCTGCAGTACTTCATCATCCAATTAAACCGCTCCTCTACGGTTTTCAGTGAGTCCTTGGCGAAGTGTAGATTCAGCTTACTTGGCTGGTTGGCAGAGGGCATAGGGTCCTTGGCATTGGTGTTTCCACTCCGACTGTGAGTATAGCAGATAGTTCAGTTTGAAGAGTGGAAGCCCTGTTGCTGATTCTAATTCTTTTATTTTACGTGTACCCTGAGTCACTACGACAGCACTTCCAATCCTCCACAGGCAGTGTTCAACAGCTCTCACTTTGAGGTGTGTTAAGAGGCAAGGGCTGTGAATTATTTGGACGGGTATGAAGGTGTCGTGATGTCGAAGAGAGCTGTCTGCTAGGGTGGTGTTAGGAAGCGTTGTTGTGATGGTGACGTTAGGATTTTATTACTACTATGCGGTATCTACCAAGATGTTTATGCGTGTAAGAAGTTTAGTAAAAAGAGTAATCCATACACAATTAAATTATAAGAGACAATGTTCTTTGGTTCACCACGCAAGAGGTTGACTTCAATTATTTTATCTTTGAGACTGGGCATTCTTAGTTTTTCCTCATATTAAGTACCCGGGGGCAGAATGGGATTGAAAGGTACAATTACACCATATTTCATGGTTTAAAAGCCGCATTTGATATTGCTAATAGGCAACTAATATACAGTGTTAACGAAGTAGCTAAGATGGACATTTGATAAGTGGCTATCTTACCATTAGGCTTCCTTGGGTCAATCCCCGACATCCCCCAACAATATTACAGTTGGTTATCCATGTTCATACTAAACCCCCCATCTAGGTGCACGGAGGCAGGGAGGGAGGCAGGGTAGAGGAAAGAATAAGGGTGAAGATAAAGAGCACTTAACTAACAAGAATTTAACATATTTCTCTTGATGAAGAAGTACTTTATGAATCTTAATATTTCGTTGTTTTAGCGATGATTAAAATAATCAAATGTGACGAGACAGAAAGAGAAATTTTATCTAATGTGTATAACGTGTTGAAGCCTTAAAGCTTACTCTCAATTTTATTATGTAACTGGAGTCAGTGATTGTCGTAATTAACGTAATCAAACACGCATCACCACATATGGTTCTGTTCTAGTCGGTTCAGTTCGTACTTTTCCTCACCAAACTGATATATATTTTTTCGTGAGAGGGATTTTTTCATACAGTAGACGTCAACACAGGCAACTTAAATAGAGAACAACAACTTGACAAGTCACGGAGTCATCCTGAGTGTTTGTGGCGGCTAGTTGACTGAGGGTCCGGGCGGCTGGAGGTATAAAGCGAGGCTGGAGGCCAGGAAGGAGCCAGTGTCTGCTACCTCCCCAACACTACACTACCAAACATGTTCACCTCTGTAAGTATTGCTGACTTTGACTCATCAACACCTACTACATTGTAATTGTTTTCTTGCTCTGTCTCTCTGTCTCTCTCGGTCTAAAATGATAAAGATCTTCGGTAAAATTTAGATAATTTTTGTCCAAATAATTTTGGTTTAAAGCTTTCTCGTGGATGACATGAAACCAACCACTATATATCACTATTGTTCATGTATAATAGCTCACAATAACAGAGAACATAAGGTGTATTACGAAACTCAACAATAATTGGTTTGGAGTGGATAGGTCGCCCACCTCCTGTCCTATAGAGTACCCGGGTCGCGTTCAGTACACCCGACAGTGAATGTTTACTATTGTAGAAGTGAAGGCGCCTAAGTGCACTGCTGGCAACACTGTCTCCTAACTATTAAGTGACCCTTAGTGTTCACTGCCCCTTAGTGTTCACTGCCCCTTAATATTCATTGCCCTTAGTATTCACTGCTCCTTAATAATCACCGCCCCTTAATATTCATTTCTCGTTAATATTCACTGCCGCTTAGTGTTCACTGCCCCTTAGTGTCCACTGCCCCTTAGTGTCCACTGACCCTTAGTGTTCACTGCCCCTTAATATTCATTGCCCTTAGTATTCACTGCTCCTTAATATTCACCGCCCCTTAATACCCACTGCCGTCTAAGCATCCAGTGCCCTATATCCGTATTGCCTCTGCGGCGCCATCTTTTTATTCATGAAGTTGAATTACCAAAACATGTCAGTGTAGCATCACTAGGACGGTAGGCGAACAGTTATGCTATATAACAGTGTAGTCAACGACCATAATCGTTTTTCTATTGAAGACCATTGACATAACCACAATTTATGTAACAAAATTATCCTTTTCATTCGAAATCCGTCAAAATTTAAGTGAAGTTCATTACGTCTTCGTTTCTAAATGCAGGTGAAAAATTTTTAATTGGTATTATATAAATTTAGTTCTATGGTTATTTGAGTCTCTACTACCATGATGGCTCGTTGATGAGGGTGTGGCTGTGGTAATGCTTCTTCTCAATATTAATGTTATAGAACATTAATGAATATTTAGCAAGAAACAGTTGATGAAGTCCCATGAATTTAACTCGGTAATATTTTTTAAGCATCTCCACAGATCATATTTTTTTTACTAATGATCCAGTTAATTAATCATTTATTTTAAGGAAAGTATTGCAACAATCACATCAACCGTCTTACTCAGTGTTTTGTGATGTTGCAGGTGTTGTTGCTGTGCCTGTTGGTGACCGCGGGTGTGGCTCTCCCAGGCGGCTACAATGTGCGTCCTTAGATAATATTTACTTTTAGCCATATCATCATGTCATATCTCAGTGATGTATATATTTAAGACGAAATACGTATGATAAATATTAATATATAGTGTGATACATCATTGATGTGTTCACAGGTTCCTCTCCCTTACAACTACAACTACGGGATCAACGCAGGATCCACCAACTTCGGTCAACAAGAGAGCGGTAACGGTGGCAACGTGAAGGGTTCATACTTTGTCCACCTCCCAGACGGTCGCGTCCAGAAGGTTGATTACTGGGCTGACGGTAGCGGATACCATGCTACCGTGACCTTCCAGGGCACCGCCAGTCATCCCAGCTACGGCCCTTCACATGGTTACTAGCTGCAATCCTCAACACAACCTATCATAACTTACCTGCAATGAATTATTAGTCAGCTAGTTCATAGACTTTAAATGACTATGATGCAATATGTTCCTCAGTTTTACTTCCTGAGTAAAATAAAATATTGCAGAGTTTATGTGATGTTGAACCAAACTTTAGTGCCTTCGTGAACGAGTCTCCCAGGGTTATGGTGATATATCTGAGTGTTCAGGTCTGTGTCTCCCAGATTTACCACATCCAAGTTTCCTGTGTATATAATATCCTGCTTTAGTTTTTGGGCATAAGTTATCTATATCAACTATTGATCAAGTGTTGCTGTTTATTTATAAAGCAATAGATATAATAAATACTGAAGAACATTTAGTAGTGTATTATCACTAGATTTTTTAAATATTAAAGAAGCAAGCAGTTGAAATAGTATTATTTAAGTATATACAAAATATACAAAACAGAGAGAGAGAGAGAGAGAGAGAGCTTATTGATATAATATAGAAAATGTCTCAAAAACATATCTGGTTATCTAACTACACTTTGATGAGACAAAAAATAAATCCCTAAAGACGAAAAGAGATTTTGACAACAAAAGCTCACATGATTAACATTAAAAGAGAAGGTAGAAACATGACTGTAAAAAAAAATATATTTATAAAATATATCAGAGCTCATAAGGAGCTGTGTATAAGACGTAGTCGTTTTGTGAAGATAAAAACAACTGTTAATAAAGTATTGTTAGGAAACACAGGAAGAGCAGGAGGACGACAGAACTGATGTCATCTTAGGAGAGGCGGCTGAGGTTCTGTGAGAAGAAGTAAACAAACACAAATGAATAGGAAAGAGCCAGAGGTAGACGACATATCGACTGATAAATTTCAAGACAGTGAGATCTATTCATAATTGTTGTGGCATAACTATAAACAAGTTTAATGAATAGATCAAAAAGTTTCAATAAGTTGTAACAACCATTTTGATGATGTCTTCAGAAAGGCACCGAAATACAAGGCAAACACACAAACACACACACACGCACACACGCACACACACACACACACACACACACACACACACACACACACACACACACACACACATATGTAGTGATTGCTTATCATACCATAGCTTACAGCCCAGAACAACATATATAACAGTGACCGGAAGCGCAGGTATGGACACCCTCGTAAGTTGACCCATCCTTCATAATTAAAGGGAACCAGAATTCTCACCGCCGCGCGATCAGACGGTGTTAACTCGAGAGACTACCCTCCAGCCTGCACCACACACCTGGGCAAACACAGCTGTCCAGACCTATCCAGTTTAGTGTTAATTAAGAGAAGTCATCTGCCGGCTTACGACCTCTAATATAAGAGGTCTGCAGCTCCTTCCACAAGGACAAGGCATTATTATTATAACAGGGAAGGGACCGATAGATCCTTCCCAGAGACAGACAGGGAGAGAAAGGACTCTGAAGAAGACAGGAGGCACGTTCGTCACAAGTAGAGGTCGGGAGGGAGACTTCCCTCCCCAGCTAGCACATCCCCCAGCCGCTGGGCCTCCCTCAGGTCACACGCTAGTCATTGTCAGAGCGATCCAAGGGTGAGTTACTTACGGTGTGTTTCCATTTCATGTTTGTTTCCGAGAGTCATTGTCTAGTAACTTCGATATAATGATTTATTAATGTGTCCATGCCATTGAGTTGAATAATAAATGGCTGTACTTAGAATTGCCGTTTAGAAAATTCCCCATATGAATATTTATTAAGTCAAATAACTAATCGGCCACGCTACCAAACTTTCCTCACTTTACAAGTCTACATGTATAAATTCTTCCGATATCTTCTATAAGAGTTTTCACTTGTTATAAGCCTACACACACACACACACACACACACACACACACACACACACACACACACACACACACACTACAACTACATTGCTGTCACTCCGAATCGAGTATGACGATCGTCCAGCTATGATAAAATTATATAAATTATTAAGGATATTGCCTTCGTTGGTGAGTTCTGAGGTGACTAGAGAGGCCGATACTGGACCACCAGCATCGATCACAGATGTTGCACATCTGGAGGGTTACATCTAATGCGGGAGGGGCGGCGGCAGCGTTTTTCCAGCGTTGGCGCTTGTCTGCCTCGGTTTGCAGTCGGGCTAACTCGAAAGTATTGACACCATCTCGTGTGTTGCTCCTCCAAGCGGTACGGTGTGGAGGAATCGTCTCCCAGGTGAGGAGGTCGACTTGGCACTTTCTTACGTTAGTCTTAAGACTATCCTTATACCTCTTCAGTTGCCCACCAGCGTTACGTTTACTATTCGTCAGGTGACTATACAGTAGCTGGTTTGGCAGTCTACTGTTGCCCATGCGGATAAAATGGCCAGTCCAACAAAGTTGTTCATGGATAATGGTAGCCTCGACGCTCCTACAGTTGGTGTCAGTGAGAATACTAGCATTTGTTCTCTTGTCTTCCAAGAGAACTAGGAGGATGAAAAGGAGACAACGTTGGTAAAGGTTTCAAGTGCCTTGAGGTTCCTCCTGTATGTGACCCATGTCTCGCTGCCATATAGCAGGGTGGGGAGGACCACTGCTCGATATACATGTAACTTTGTAGATAATTTCAACTCCCAACAGCTAAAAACACGGGTACAGAGTCTGTCAAAGGCTTGAGATGCACATTAGATCCGATGTTGAATCTCTTCATCGATGTCCACGGAGGTGGACAGGTGGGAGCCGAGATACCGAAAGTGGGTAACATTAGAGAGGGTAGGACCGTTAAGCTGGATGGATGGTGGAAGTGTGGCTGTACCAAGGGCAGGATGAAAGTGAATCTGAATCTTATGTACAAAAACCTCAAGGCTGAAGTGTGCATACGCATCTGCATAGGTGTTCAGGATCTCCTGCAGGTCGCGTTCAATGTGAACGACAAGTGTGAGGTCGTCTGCATAATGAAGTTCAGTAACGGAAGCTACCGATACATTTGTTCCTGCCTGGAGTCGTCTTATGTTGAAAAGACCTTTCATCCAGTACTGGATGTTCACCCCACCGGCCAAATTGGCACTGGCACGAGAAGGAAGGCAGCCAAGAAAATGGAAAATAAAGTTAGAGAGTTGGTGCCAGTACACATCCTTGTTTTACACCCGTTTTGGATGGGGAAAAACTCAGACTGGGTTACATTGTGGAGGATGCTACCGTTTATGCCGTTGTGGAGTTGCCTCACAATAGCTATGAATATTGGTAGGCAGCCAAAACGGCTGAGGGTTCGCCAGAGGGCTTCATTGTTGACCGAATCGAAGGCCTTAGATAGGTAGATAAAACGCTGTTCTCTGCAATTTTCCTCTATCTGGCGGGCTGCAAAGATCATGTCAGTGGTGCCAGGTGATGGTCTAAGGCCACACTGAGATTCTGGGAGGAAGTTTTCCGCATCAGGAAGAAGTCTGTTTAGGAGGACTTGGACGATAACCTTGCCAGTTACATACAGCAGCGAGATCCCGTGGTAGTTGCCAAAATCTGACTAGTACCCTTTTTTTTATAAATACTGACGATGGAGGCGTATTTAAGAACTAGGGGATTTCCTCCCTTTCCCATAAAATATTATATTCTCCAGGAGAGAGTGGAGACGGATGGTAAGCAGAGGTCCTCCTGTTTTATGCACCTCGGCTGGGATTCCATCAGGCCCTGTGGCATTGGTATTTTTCATCTGTTTGATGGCAGTTGCTACCTCATCCAGGGATGAAGGATAGGTGAGATGGGTCAGCTCTGGATGCTGAGGGACCTGCTGGGTAGTCAGGACATCCACATCAGTGTTTCGGTTGAGTAGCGAATTGTAGTGCTTCTTCCAATGATGAAGGATGCCTTCTTCATCTTTAATTAGGAAATTACCAGCAGATCAGCGGAGGGGGGCTGCCCCTTGAGTGATTGGCCCATAAAATGTTTTCGTTAAATTTATATATTCATTCATCTTGTGTTTATATGCAAGTGTTTGCATTTCACATGCTTTATTTTTAAACCAGTCGTTCTTTAGTTTGCTAAGTTTGTGCTTGGCTGTCGCTTTCTTCTTGTGGCAGGTATCAGCTTTGGTCCAAGACTGAGGGTTGGTCAGCCAGTCAGTTAAAGCAGCACGTTTATCATCAACGAATACATTGATTTCCGGGTCATTTTCTTCAAACCAGTCCTGGTGTATTGTATCGATCTGGCCGAGGGACTCTGTGCAGGTTTTTATCACCACAGTGTCCAAAATACCCCATTCGGCACTGGGATTTGGGTTGTTTGTTGTCGGGTTGTTTATCAGCCCATGTTTGAGCTGCTCTCTGAAAGTATGTGCTGTCACTGGATCCCCCAGATGCTTAGTGTTAAAACCTCTTCCGGAGGCTTGTTGCCTTTGCCCTTTTGGGGTGACGTGAAGTGAGAGCTTGGCTCTGATGAGCCGGTGATTAGTGTTGCAGTGGTCTGAGCCACGCTTGGCACGGGTGATGAGGACATCTCGGCGATCTGTTTCTCTGACAATGATGTCGGCGTGCTTAAAAAAGGTATTGGTGATAGTGAGGTTGTGTACAGAACAATTGCTGAGGAGGAGTAGGCTGTTGGGATTACACTTGCCTAGTCCATTTCTCCGTATGATTCCCTGCCAAATGTCAGCATCACTGCCATTGAAGTCACCTAGGAGCACAACCTTATATTCTCTGGGGATAGAGGTTAGTACTCTGTCATGGTCGATGTAAAAGGCCTCCACGATGTCATCCTCTGCAACCAGTGTTTAGGCATATGCACTGATGAAAATGCATGATGTGAGTGATTCAGTACGACTCTGAGCATCATGATCCCAACAGGCGTTTCACTTAGCCTGCATAGGATGCGTTGGCGAATGGCAAAGCCAACTACACAAATGCGGTTTCTCTATGCAGCACGCTTACCGTTCTGTGAGTTGACCCTCGTCTTAGAGCCGGGACTCACTAATAGCTGCTGTGTTGATGTGATATCTAGCCAAGTCTTTTCCTGCAAGAGCGGTTCTTCTTTCAGGACGCTCATTAGTGCCAGTATCCAGAAGAGTTCTTACATTGCATGCAGTGACCACAGGAGATTGTAGAGTTTTGTTTTGATCTGTGATTATAATTGTGTTTTCGATGGCATAAGGATGATCTTACTGGGTGTGGTTACAGAGTCATGTAGGTTCTTCAGGCAGACTTTGTTTAGGGCACCTTTTCTAGCCCTCCCTATATATAGTGAGCAGAGTGCCTCCTCGAAAGGGCTGCTCAGTCGCACAGACAGGACCGGATTACACTGCTACCTCGATCCCAGTGCATAAATGACCATCTTATCTGTGCCGTCCGTGTGTGGAGTAGTGACTAGAGACTCC